TGCTAAAAATGCGTTCCTATATGGTGATTTAAAAGAAGAAGTTTACATGCATGTACCCTTTGGCCACCCACAAGAATCCAAGTTTGGTTTTATCTGCAAGCTTAAAAAAGCTATATATGGGCTTAAACGATCTCCACGAGTCTGGTACGCAAAGCTCAATTATGTTCTCATGATTAATGGGTTAAAAAGAAGTGATGCAGATCCTTCCCTATTTGTCAACAAAGATATTTATGGTACAACTATTGTTCTGGTTTATGTTGATAATAAAGTGATCACTGGAGACGATAGAGATGAAATATCAAAACTCAAGACTCTTTTACATAAGCAAATTTTCATTGAAGGTTTAGGAGTCTTGAAGTATTTTCTTAGATTATAAATTGCCTACTAAAAAAAGGGCATTTTTCTTGATCAACAAAAGTACGTGTTGGATCTGTTACATGAAACTGGTAAATTTGGAGTTAGATCTTCAGATACTCCTACTGATAGTGGTAGCAAGATTGGCGACGAAGGTGAATTACTTTTTGATATTGGTCAATTTCAAAGATTAGTTGGTAGACTGATTTTTTTAACCATTACTCGGCCAGATATCTCATACGTAGTTAGTTTGGTAAGAAGATTTATGCATGCACCAAAAGTTAATCACATAAATGCTATAAATCGAATTTTACAGTATTTGAAGAAATCACCAGGAAGAGGTATATTAATGCGTAAGAACGGGCACAATTTATCACTGCCTACATTGATGTTTATTGGGCTGGGTGTCCAATTGATCAAAGATCGATAATTGGGAATTGTACCTTTATTGGATGTAACTTGGTAACATGGAAAAGTAAAAAACAAGGAATGTTGTTGCACGATCAAACGCGGAGGCAAAATATTAAGCAATGGCTTCCACCACAAGTGAAGTTATTTGGCTTTGAGCTTTATTGTAGGATTTGGGTTTCGGTTTTTTTGAACCAACTAAAATGTTTTGTTATAACCAAGTTGTAATGCACATTGCTTCAAATCATGTCTATCATGAGCAGACTAAACATATTGAGGTAGATTATCATTTTGTTCGAGAAAACATGCAAGCCAACGTTATTTGTACTCTATTTTTTTGCAGGAACCAACAATTAGCATATGTTTTTACCAAGGGACTTCCTTTTGGTCAAGTTTCAATTGATATTGTCCAAGTTGGGCTCTATCAATATTTTCGCACCAACTTGAGAGGGAGTGTTGGCGAAGAAGAGAGATTTATGACATTACTTTTATTTATGGGTTGATATGGTGAGCTATTGGTGATAGTTTCCTTAAATCAAGGATACAATTGATTTTCCTTAATTGAGGATTTGCCTTAATTGGAACAATATTGTAACTATTTATTAATGCTATTGATAAGCGCTGAATATTGCATATTCGAGCCCTTAAACGTGTTTATGTTAATATCTTAATGATACATTTATCTCAGTTCTTATGCTTGCTTTTGTTTATTTGCTCTTTATAGGACATTACCCGAAGATGTGGACAATTCCATGTATTTAAATCTTATGACGATTTTCCCGATGCTTAGGGAGATGTTCGGGACCATTCTGATCAATTCGGGATTCAATTGGGAAGATTTGAAGAATTTCATAAGCTAGAGCTTGAGTACAACTTCCCAAGAGCTCGCGCATAAGTTTTAGTGCTCAAGCACAAATCAGAAAAACTCAAGAAAAAAACTAAGTGTCAGAAAAAAAAAAAAAAAAAAAAAAAAAAAAAAAAAAAAAGACGCTTCGAAAATTATCTGGAAAAATTTGGCTAAGAATAGAGGTAAAGCTCGAACACAAGCCTTTGTGCTTGAGCACAAACACTGAGAGCTCGAGCACTGGACCTAGTGCTCGAGCATAAGTACCCAAAAGCTGCAGGAATGATATAAAATCTCTCTTCTCTGCTTCCTTATGGGCCTAATTGTCCCCAAAAGCTGTAAATCCCGTCCAGGGGGATTAGGACGTGCTCTTCACTATAAAAGAAGATGAGAGACACATTAAAGCTTCTCTTTTTCCTCTTGGTTGTTCTTTTTCTCCTACCTTGTGGCGCTTTTTAGGGTTTTGAAGATTAAAGATTCCAATTGGCGGTTCATGGAAATGGCTTCTACACCAGCAATGTTGACATCCTTCCTCTCTATGAGTAGCTAAAGCATTCTTTAGGGAATTGATGTAACCCTAGTCCGAGTAGCATGGTTTGATTGTTTTTAACTTTGGGGATTTTTATACGTATATTGATTGTATGGTTTTGAGCAATTGACTTAGTTGTACTAAGCAATTGGGTTTTAATGAATAAAATCAATTTTAATGAAATTAATCTCTTATCTTAGAATTAATCTTGTTTTAATTGAATTCAACCTCTTCTATTATGAGAGGTTGAAAGGTAAGAACTTCTTTTAATGGTAGAAGTGGTTATCATGCAATGGTGCTCAAACGACTATGTGAAAGAATGTTTTGATAATTCATGCATAGGGCAAATGAATTGTACTGCATGGTAGATTAGAGTAGTTAGGTAGACAATTCGTACCAACCGAAGATGAGTTATGGCTTAGTGTTGATTCATATATATACTTTCTTAATTGAATTAAAGTGTGCTTGTAGCCACTTGATTCCCGAATACGCATATGTGTGAATTTCCCTATTGTTGAAATAATTGACCATGTTATGAGGCTAGTGGTGAAGTCAATCCCAAAGTTTTTCTCACTTTGATCGCATCCTTTGTTAATTTAGTTTATTTTCAGTCTTATTGTAATTTAGAAATAGAAAACACATCAAAATTCTTTCTCTTGAATCAAATATGGATTAATTTTACACTTAACAATACAAACACGGTCCTTGAGGTTCGACACCCTCAACATAGTCCTATCCTATAAGGATTCGTTCTATTGCGAATGGTTTTATAATTGATAATACACACATTATGATCTCTATTGAGACATACTAAATAAGAAGAATTCACCTCTCTTCTCCTGTGGATGTAAGCCCTAGTAGGCTGAACTATGTAATGTTGTTATGTTATTCTTCTTTTTTCTATCTTATAGAATTAAATTAAATCCATTTTTTTTTTTAATTTTTTATTTTGGTTAGGTAACACAAACATTTCACAAATGGTCCACCACATTTCACAAGACTTTGTTTCTTTAAGGAAAATTTTTTTCAAACCGGATCAGTAAAGAAAACTAAAATGTTGCGTTTAGTGTGCATGAATGGAATGGAATGCAAGTGGGAATGGAATGTAATTCCTATTCTCATTCTATTGTTTGGCTGTACATGTGAAACACGTAGGAATAGAATGATAATAATTATTCTAATTTTTAATTGGACTAATTTAAAATTTAGAATGGAATGAATGTCAAATTGAATTCTCTAAAATACCCTATTACTGACAAATAAATTAAATTAACAAAATGACAATCTTTTATAATTTTTTTGAAAGAAATTACGCCGGTGGTAGATAGACAATGGTGTGATAAAAAGCGGTAGTGGTGTAGGTGGCGGTGGTGGAAGGTGGCAGTGGCGGTGGTGGCAGAAGACGATAGTGGTGTTGGTGGAAGGTGGTGGCAGTGGAGGTGGTGGAAGTACTGGTGGTAGTGGTGGAATGATTCCATGGTATAGGTGATGGTGGTGGAAGGCAGTGGCGGTGGCAGTGGTGTGGTGATGGTGGAAGGCGGCAATGGTGTAGGCGGTGGTGGTGGAAGGCGGTTGAGGTGACGATGGTGATAGTGGTAGAAGGCACTGGAGGTGGCGGCGTAGGTGGAAGGTGGTGGTGATGGAGGTGGCGGCGTAGGTGGAAGACGGTGGTGATGGTAGAGGTCGATGGCGATGGAGGTGGCGGTGGCGGTGTGGTGGTGGTGGTGGTGGTGGAAGGCGACGACAGTGGTGGCGATGGGAGTGGTAAAAGGCGGTAGTGGTGTAGGTGGAAGGTGGCGGTGGTAGAATGCGGTGACAGCGACAACGATAGTGATAGCGACGGTAGTGGTTGCAGTAGTGGTGACAGTTGTGGTGGCAATGACTATGGTGGAAGATAATGGAGGTAGTGGTGGTCGGTTGTGGTGGTGAAAGTCGGTGGTGGCGAGGACGAAGTGTGGTGGTTGAAGGTGGCAACAATGGCCGCGATAGCAGTGGCGGTGGTTGAAGGCAATGGAAATGGTGGTAGTGGTGGTGGTGGAATGTTGTGGAAAGCAACGGTGGTGGTGGTGGTGGCGGCGGCGACAATCGTGGTGGTGGAAGGCAGTGGTGGTGTTAGTGGTTTTTGGACTTGAAATATGAGGGTTTTTTTGGGAATTTGATTTTTTTTTAAAATTTACTTGGGAATAGAATAGTCATTCCATAAATTTAGTTGTGGAATGGATTTTTGTTTCCAAAAATGAATTTTCATTCCAATGGAATGCCCATTCTCACTTTAAATTGCATACCAAATAAAGGAATGGTTGAAATGAGCATTCTATTACATTCCATTTCTGCACACCAAACGCAGCAAAATGGTGTCATACGCTCGTGATCAATTACGAATCACTTAGGCGGTGTTTGATAAGCTGATTTGGTGCTTAAAACTAAGCACGGTCAGTGATTTTAGAAGAAAGAAAAAAGAGAAGCGATTGATGCACAGTTCACACTAAAGAGATCAATGGGAGAAATTTTAGAGGGCAGAAAATTTTTTCAGATCTACTTTATAATTATTGTAAATCATGTTTAATAAATCAATTAAAATAAAAACGCCATGGCTGGCAATAAATCATGTTTAATTTCATGGCTTGAAACTTTGCTTAGCAATATCCGATAATGATTGAGAACTGGTAACTAAACTAAACTTAAAACTGTGTAGTTCGGAGTTCCATCAACGGGTAATCTCATTGATAGATACCTGCCGATTACAAACAAATCAATAATGTTATAAGTTAAACACACTCACACCCACAATGTCAGAACTTGAACCCTCAACCTTCATTTTTGGAAGGCAATGAAGTACATTATAACCACGGTCCAAAAGGAAACTTATATTGTTGTTTTTGAAACTCTTCGTGCCAAAATGATCCAGCAAAGCACCCTGTAAAACACAAAGAAGGCTACCATGATTCCCACATTCATCCACCTAGTATCCTTGTCCAGCCCTCTGCTCTTCAATACATCATTTCCAGTAAGCAAACACATTGAGTAAACTTGAGGATGCCTAGAGAAACACTCACTTCTCACACTCCAATATTCATTGATGAGAAGTGAATCCAATGGATACCTATAAAGAGAGACGTAGTACATGAAGAGCCAATATTTTGGAATGCACTCCTTGGGAATGAAGTAGCCCGAAAAGAGGAAAAAGGCACCAAGAACTGTGCAGATGAGCGAATTCCCGGAAATGAAATCCGGGGAGACAGCACTTAGGAAGAGGACTAAAGAGCTAGCCATCAACACAATGAGCCACACCGCGAATGTGAAGAACACGAAGGCAGAGAGGGAAGGATTGAGCCCTACGATCCAGTACACGGGAAAGGAAAAGAGAATGGCTACTGCAAACAAGAAGGGAAGGAAGACAATGGTGTTGGCAATCATGTAGGAGGAAATTCTGTAGGCTCCTCTAGAGGCTTCCTTCATCAAAACGCGGCGCTCTTGAAGGTATATTGGAAGTGCTTCGACTGTGGAAGAAAGGAGAAAGCTAAGACTAAAAGCAAAAAGGCCTAACCTCTCCGCGACACCGTCTTCATCTCTCTTCACCTTTATATACACACTTCCCAGACCAAATCCTCCAACGAGAGCTTGCATAGTCCTTGCCAAGAACAGCTGTTTTGTCCTGTAAATGATCTTCCAAAATCTTTGGCAGAGAACCATAATTTCAAACAAAGTACTCCAAAAACAACCAGTGCCCATCTTTTCCTGTTGGACCCCCCCAATTTGTTCTTGCCAAATCGAGTACGAAGATGGTTCCTTATCATCTATGACAGATAAAGAAAATTTGGTGTTAGACTCTTCTATTGTAGATATAATTTCCATGGCATATTCTAAAGCATTTAGTTGCAGTGGAACTTTGAAACCCAACTTGTTTATGGTCTCTTCTAGTGATTCTAGGCTACCATTATGGACAACAGAACCATGAGAAAGGATCAAGAAATTTGAAATGTATTGAAGAATTCTATAGCTTGGTTGGTGGATAGACAAGACTATTGTCCTCTGCTTTGCTTTCGCCATGGAAGAAAGTAGCTCGATCACTTGAAGAGCAGACGTGCTGTCAAGCCCGGAAGTTGGCTCATCAAGGAGTAAAATTGGAGGGTCATGAATCATATCCACACCAATGGATACCCTTTTTCTTTCTCCACCAGATATGCCTCTTTTATCTTCATCCCCAACAAAACTATGAGCAACATGCAAGAGGCCAAGCTCCAGCATGAAGCTCTCAACCCTCTCTTCCCTCTCTTTCGAACTCATGTCCTTGAGCCTAAACTTGGCACTGAACATCAGAGTTTCCTTCACAGTTAGAAGAGGAAGAAGGTTGTCCTCTTGCGCCACGAATCCACATATGCTCCTCAGCCGAGCTGGACTCGATACCGGACAATCATTGAGCGAGACACTCTTTGTGTCGAAGTCCTTATCTCTCACCCTGCCAGAAATAACCCGTAGGAGAGTAGACTTGCCGGTGCCACTAGGGCCAACAACAGCAAGGATTTCAGCGCTTTTTGCGACAAAAGAGACTGATTTGAGTATGTTGAGAAGTTTAGGCTTGTACACCGGGCGATAAAAGGAAGAAGGTAGAATGGAATTGTTTCGGTTTATGGTGTAGGAGAGGTTCCTAACACTTAGTTTGTAGGTTGTTTTAGGTGCACGAGATGGTGGTGGCGGTGGTGGTGAGTGGTGGGAAGAGGAGGAGGGGCTGGTGGACTCATCGGGCGAGTTGGAGGTTGAGAAGAGGATGATTGAATCGTCTTCGAGGTTAGGTGGTGGTAGGAAGCATGAGGCCATTGTTTGAGCTCAATTTTTGTGAGAAGAGGGTGTGATGGAGGGGACTTTGAAGAGGGAAGTTTCAAAATGGGAACATTTTGGAGGTTGGACCAACTTAGTTTGCTTGTTGCCAAGGTTTCCAAAAATAGGTGAATGCGATGAAGGCTTTGGCACGGTTTGGTGATCTAGTTGATAAGGTAAGTAAGAAATGCATGCTATTACTTTTAATAATACCTAAATTTGTTTATTCTTTTATTTTTCAGCTTGGGGAATGACTGGTCATATTTTAATAAGAAAAATATATGTCAGTTGTCTAACTGAAAATTTGATATATGTCTGAATATCAACTTAAGATGAAAATAAATATTTTAATCAGATAAATAATGATTTAAAAGCCATGGTTACAGAATTTAATTTACGTGAATGTAATGGTGGTCTCACCATACCTTTCTTCTTACATAAATTGAATTTAATGATCAAGGGCGGAGTAAATTAAGGCCTAGGGGGGCACGTGCCCCCTGCTTGGCCCCACCCAAAAAAATATATATAGTTAATTTGTAATTTTTTTTTTAAATATATATAAAAATATATATATCGTGCCCCCCTAACTTTTTAATTTATCTTAATTTTTTCTTTCTTTTGTTCTTTAAATTTCTTTAAAAAAATTAAAAAAAAAAAAAAAAAAAGTCAAATTCTCCTTTTTAAATCATACTCTAATTTTTTTTTTTTTGTTCTTTCAAATATATCTCAATTGTCTTTCTTTTTTCTTTTTAAAATTCTTCATTTTGGGTGTTATATCAATATTAGTTGAATTGAACCCCTGTCAATGACCACCAAATTCGATCTCTAAATCACAACTCCAATCAAAAAAAAAATTATTCTATTTAGATCTAACAAAAGACGAATCAATTTCAAAAACTGTTTTAATTACATTGTTTGTTATATCAATACAAAATGTATCTATATATTTATTTATATATTTATTTTTAATTATTCTGATTTTTAATTCATAAACCTTGCTTTAAACTCTCCACATTTTATTTTAAAAAGTTAGGAAAGCCATTGGTGTACACCAATGCAAAATTTGAGACCAATTCTTCAACCCCAACAACCTATGTAGTCTCCCTCTCCAATTTTACATTTCATCATATGGTTCACGGTCATCTATCAACACTGGGAAGTCAGTATCTCTATGCAGAACTTTTGCCCCTGTAGTTGAACAACCACTATACTTGTTTATACTAATTAACGAATGCCTTCATGGAATTTATTATGGTTTATTGTTTAAAATCCTGCCGAAATAAGACATGCCTCGCTTCAAATTCAATAATCAAAACACATTCTGTCAAAATAAGATATTTCTTACCAAATATTGTAGTAGATTGAGATTTCAAATTCTATTAAGACGGGTAGTGAATGAATGTGTTTTTTGTAATAAATAAAATTGAAAAAAAAAAAAAAAAAATCAAATTTTGAAGAAATTCGTTTTTCATTATTGAGTAATCTTAAGCCTCATAATTTAAAGATAGCCAGAGATCATAGATTTTGAGAAGATAATGAACGTTTGCAGAATGGTAGCATTGAGTCAGTCGGGACCAAAAAACCAAAAAAAAAAAAAGGTTAGGGGACGACATTGAGTCGGGCCTGCCCAGGATTGGGCCCAACATGAGCAATGGGCCCAGAATAAAACAATTGAGAAACCCAGGTATAAATTGCAGGCTTGTTGACAGGGCTATTAATTTGGGCCTCTGATGGGTTTAAATTTGAATTAAATTTTCTTGTAATCAGGCCAAGTTTTATATTGACTATAATTCAACTTGTTTGTGGCTTCATTATGCTATGGGTCAGTAAATCATAGATAGGAGACGAAGGGGAAGAAAAAAAAAAAATTGGAAAAATGAGTCATCATTCCTGGCTTCACAAATTTTCGTCATTTCAAATATGAACAAAAGAGAAGAAGGAAGAGAATACAATACTACCCTTTATAATTGTTAGATAATCTCAATGTAAGCAATTTCTCTCTTCCCTTCTTCATAACAAATAATTAAGTTGTTACCTCCTCATTCTCTCTCCCTTCCATTCAGTTTTTTTCCCCTTCCTACCAAACAGAGCATAGGTAACCATTTTTCAACCTACAAAGGACTGTTGGCCTTTTTTTTTTTTTCCTCGAGAAGCTAAACTACATGATCAAGGTCAAGTCCTATAATTTAAGAGAGTGACCACTACAATTTAATTCAGCTTTTGAATATGATTATTTAGCTTCTTGTCAGCATGAGCTGTATTTCATAGTATATTTATGTAATTTCTCCTAAATTGATTTGGTAATTAATGGTTACCATATAGGATGGTTGACCGTAGAATATATTATTACTATATTGTGTAATATATTATAACCATGTATAGGTTTATCATATACGGTTTAGATTTCTTACTCTCCACACATCTCGTCACCTATATAAACCCCTGTGTATCTCATATCTGATATATCAATACAATAACCAGTTTCCCTCTTTAATATTTTTAACATGGTATTAGGGCCAGGTACCGAATATCGTATTTTGAATTTTATTCCTGTTATTGGTCTAAATGGTGATTACTTCATGTGCAACTACCGTACCAACCCCGACTTCGGCACCGCAGATCATAGTCCACCAAGATAATAAAGCATTTCCAACTGGAATTATACTGGATGAGACTAATTACTCATTATGGTCTAAACTCATGGAGATGCGGATTGGTGCTCGTAACAAGGTTGGGTATCTCACCGGAGAAGCGACAAAACCCGTACCTGGAGATCCGAAATTGGAGGCATGGATAACCGAAAATCATTGAGTCAAGAGTTGGCTCATGGACTCGATGAGCCCATCATTGATGTAGCGATTTATTCGTCTTCCCACGGCTAAGGAGATATGGGAGGCAATATCTAGAACTATCTATGACGGATCAAATGAAACGTGTATTTTTTAATTGAATCAAAGGTATTTTCCTACTAAGCAGAGTGGTCGCCCTATGCCAACATACTATAATGAACTTGTTACTATTTTTCAGGAGATTGATCACAGGAATATATCACAAGCAGGAATAATTAAAGGAGTGGTTCGTGGTGAGGCTTTGAGTTCATATTTTTCTAAGCAGAATTCTAATAATAGTGCTTGAATTATTGATACAGGTGCATCGGATCATGTGACTGGGAACTTTGGTTAGTTAAAATCTCTTAATCCTCCTTCTCAGTCAGTTATTTCCACAGCTAATGGTAATACCTCTCCTATTACTGGGTAGGGGTGTGTTACTTTGTCCGATTCTCTAACTTTAGATACTGCTCTTGTTGTTCCATCTTAAATATAATCTTCTTTATGTTAGCCAAATTACCTCTACCCTTGCGTGCACTGTAACATTTTGGCCTTCTTTTTTTGTTTTTCAGGACATTCTAACCTAGAAGATTCTTGATTATGGTCTTAGATGGGGCAAACTTTATTATTTGGAGTTAACGAAAAAAGGGGGGTCAAAGTTCAGTCAAGTGAATTAAACAGGTAGTGAAGATAAAGCTCGAGCAATCGTATGGTTATGGCACCGAAGGCTAAGGCAACTTTCTTTTGGTTATCTTAAGAAGTTATAACTGCATTTGTTTTCGTGTTTAAGTGATTTAGACTTTCAATGTGCAATTTGTGAACTGGCCAAGTGCCATAGTACTTTTTAGGAATTGAGGTCTCAAGGTCGAAGGCCGGAATTTCCCTATTACAATGGAAATATGTGCTAGATCTTTTAACTAAGACTGGAATGTTAGCTTGCAAGACACCTATAGAGATGAATCACAAGTTTGGATAGTCTGTGGATCAGGTCCCAACTGACAAGGGACATTATCAACGGTTAGTTGGGAGGCTAATCTATTTGTTACATACAAGGCCGGACATAGGCTATGCAGTGTGGTGAGCTAGTTCATGCATGCACCGAGTGAAGAACATATGAATGTAGTGTATTGGATCTTGAAGTATTTGAAGAGTGCACCAGGAAGATGATTACTATTCTTTAAGAAATTAGATCCATGGAATTGAAGGATATGTAGATTTTGATTGGGCAGGGAGTCAGACTGATAGGAGGTCCACATCGGGTTACTTTACTTTTGTGGAAGGTAATCTTGTCACTTGGAGAAGCAAGAAGCAGAAGGTGGTTTCTAGATCAAATGCGGAAGCTGAATTTCGAGGTATGGCTCATGGTGTGTGCGAATTGCTATGGGTTAAACATGTATTACAAGATTTAGGGATTGATTATGAGAAACCGATGAGTCTATATTGTGATAATAAGGCAGCCATTGAAATTGCACATAATCCGGTTTAACATGACCGTAGAAAACATGTTAAAGTTGATCGTCATTTTATTAAAGAGAATCTTAATCGAAAAGTTATACAATTTTCGTTTGTTCAATCCGAAAATCAATTGGCTGACGTACTCACGAAGGCAGTTTTAGGAATGGCGTTTCATAGTGCAATTAGTAAGTTAGGTATGATAAATATCTAAGCTCCAACTTAAGGGGCAGTGTCAGCATGAGCTATATTTCCTAATGTATTTATGTAATTTATATTTATATTTCCTAATGTATTTATGTAATTTCTTTTAAATTTATTTGGTAATTAATGAATTACTATACAGGATAGTTGATCGTGTACATTTCAATTTCAATGCACCCATATATCTGATATATATGGTAATAAGTGAAGCACTTCACCTTTCCCTTACCTAGGTGAGATGTGGGATTATGCACCCGTAACTCACCAATGTGGTAGTCTATCAGTGTCTCGCACCCGCCCACAGGGTCATCACAATCCATCCCCCTTGGAGGCCCGACGTCCTCGTCGGCACACTTCTGGCTGGGTCAGGCTCTAATACCATTTGTAATGACCCACTCTACCACATAGTATGATATTGTTCGCTTTAGGGCTGAGCCTGCACAGTTTTGCTTTTGGACTTTACCCCAAAAGGCCTCATACTAATTGGAGTAACACACCTACATATAAGCACTTCACCTTTCCTTTACCCAGGCGATGTGGGATTGTGCACCTGTAACT